AACGATGATTAATCGAGTTACTTGAAATATGATTACTCAAAAAAAATAATTTTGCTCGTTAAAAGAGTTTGCTTTGGAAAATGCTTATTTTCTTTTTCACATTCTGTATATGAAAAAAAATTTTTGTTTTAATTTTTGAAAACAGAAACGTTGTTTTCAAAGTATCAAGGAACTTTAACTACTTTATACATATGTAAAGAGTTGAAATGTTGATTACTCATTTTACTCGAAATGTTGATTAATCATAAAGCAAATTACTCAAATATTTTTGTTTTTGGTTAATCAAAAATCTTGATTACTCGAGTAACTGAACTTTTGAGTAATCATAATTTCCAAATAATCGAATAATTGAGTTATTTACTTTATGATTAACTAGCAGACCCGGCGAACTTCGTCCCGCCCAAAATTTTTATATATTTTATTGAAACTTTTTGGTCCAACATTTTCACCAATTCACGTTTACGAATTTCATTGGCACATTTGTTTGCTAAGATTAAGGTTTGGTGGTCATTTGCCGCTTTAAATAACCTAAGGAAAGTGTTATATCCGTTCTTGAAATTCTCCAGTTGTGCGGCATTTCATAGCACGGTTATTCGCAAAGCGAAATAAATTTTTTCCTCTTCACTCCCTGGCGGCAATAATGACCCGGTTCTATAGTGAATGTCCTAGAAGCTTTACAGTATAGTAGGTGGCAATTTCAAAATGGGTGTGAATCATTGTTCTACAGAAATGCAATATAAATATACTTATTTCAGACGAAATACCTTAAAAGTTTGAACGCATAATAATATTGGAAAATCACATCCATTGGGCCAATTGCAACGCAGGAGCGTTCGATATACTCAACCGTGCAACAGGTCGATTTAATCTGACCTTCACGGCCCCTTTTCTCACTTGGCTATTTTTAGTAATAGCTCGACTTCAGCACCACTTGGCAGCACGTTTTTGCAATAGTATTGCATACATATTTAAAAAATTAGCCAAATCGGATCATATATAAGATTTTTAGTAATAACTCAACTACAGCGCCAACTGTCGGATTAAATTGTGAAACTAAACCATCCAGAGACCCACTCAAATACACAAAAAGTTTCGTTAAGATCCGTACAACCATTCGGGAGGATTTTACTCACAAACACACCACAGAAGAATAAAAAAATTCATTCAAAGATAGCTAAAGGTCGGTAGGTTTGTAGGCCTCAAACCCCTTTTCAACTAGCCCAAATTTTCTCCATGAGTATGGGCTTGATTTCAACTATATACATATCTCCATACGAAGTTCCAGTACTGTACCATGAATACTTTCAGAGTTATGCAGTATAAAAACTCGATTTATATGGGAGGTGCCACGCCCCCTTTCCAACAGCTGCCCTCTTTCTTCATGAGTATGCGATTGATTTCGTATATCTCCATACCAAGTTCCAGAACTCTACCATAAACACTTCCAAAGGTAGGCAGTATGAAAAATTCGGTTTGTATGGAAGATGCCACGCCCCCTTTTCCAATAGTTCCAATTTTTCTCCAAGAGTATGCGATTTATTTCGTACATCTCCATACAAAACTCTAGAACTCTACCAAAAAATTTCCAGAGATAAGCAGTATGAAAAATTCGGTTTGTATGGGTATGCGATTGATTTCGTATATCTCCATACCAATTTCCAAAACTCTACCATGCACACTTTCAGAGATATGTAGCATGAGAAATTCGGTTTGTATGGGAAGTGCCACGCCCCCTTACATATATATTTTTTTCAACCTAAAACCATCCTTGGGACACGTGCGGCAGGTGGCAGTTTCAAAAAAATCGGTTCAGCCGCTCTCGAGCCTTGCGAAAACTAACAAACGGCTTTCTAAATATATATTAGTTGAGATATATTATATATTATAATAATATTTTGACAGTATACGTTGTTTCTGATTGGCGCAAAAAAATCTTGCCTAGTGATGAATTCGCCCCTTGATATGGTCGTTACTTAAAGCTATTAATAATCGAAATTGCATGAAAATTGGAAAACAGGAATCTATAATATATATCCAGGCAAAAAGCTACCTACGTACCGAATTTTAAGCAAATCGGACCATAAATACGATTTCTTCGAACAGATCGGTCCCTGGTCCACTTCTCGGACAAAATGGATCATATATGCTAATATATTCTAAAAAGCTACCTACGTACCGTATTTTAAGCAAATCGGACCGTAAATACGATTTTTTCGAATAGATCAGTCCCTGGCCCACTTCTCGGAAAAAAATGGACCATATATCCTAATATATGCTAAAAAACTACTTACGTACCGAATTTTAAGCAAATCGAACCATAAATGCGATTTTTTGGAATAGATCGGTCCCTGGTCCACTTCTCGGAAAAAATTGATCACATATGCTAATACATGCTAAAAAGCTACTTACGTACTAAATTTTAAGCAAATCGGACTATAATAAGATTTTTTCGAATAGACCGGTCCCTGGTCCACCTACCCGAAAAAAAGTAAAATTTGTTTAGCCTAAAACATGGTGGTTACCGAAAGCTATTTGTATAAAAAATTTCATGAAAATCGGAGCAGGCGTTCGCGAGATTACCTGTTACAAAAAAAAGGGACTTCTCTTTATATAATTAGTATAGAAGTATAGATATAGATTAAAATTTTGAGTAATCAATTAATCGCACAGCCCTAATATAAATACATATTTTAGCCCACAGCAATTTTCCAACAAGAAAACAGCTGATCAAGAAGAGCAGGTTGGAATTTACGCAAATCCCTAAATTAAATTTGATGGTTTGGAAGATGAAAGAGTAAAATGCGACTAATTAAACTTGTAAGAAATAAGTAATTATTCGTTTAGTCAGTGAACTGTGTCAGGATAAGAATTCAGGATTTGTTTTTTTACGTTTTCAATTTTATACTTTTTACAGGTCTATTCTGCGCTGGTAACATAAATTTTATAACCGGTAATTAAAGTATCTGTCAATTTTTAAACCTTTTTCGCATTCTGTGCTCTCTTGTAACCGGTAAATTTGGTTACCATCTCATAAGCTGGTAACAAAATATTGCCCCGTGAAATATGCAATACAGGAATTTCCACAAATCTTCATCTTTTCCGGTCACAAAATCTTCGGTAACGTGCAGAATAGACCTGTTAATGTAAACAAAAAATCTATCAGCTGTTCGTCTAACTTGCAAGTTTCTGCAAATTTTCTGTTCGCGTACTATTTTGGATATTTTTCTTTTGTGAGAGAACAGATGATATTTCGCCGGAATTTCCCTGTTGGACATTTTTTACTGGAGATTTTAAACGAACGTACCTATTGACTATCCAACATTTAACAGAATTGTTACGAACGGCTTTAACTGACCTAAAACCAGATTTTAAAAATCTCGCCAAAGGGATCTTTTGAACTTTCTATTATATCTATCTTACGTACAATAGAATGATAATAAAATTAATGTTTTTCTTGTTCTTTTTTTGTGGCTCTTGTAGCATTTAGAACTTAGATGTGGCTCTTTTCGGCCTCGGCCTTGCCCACCCCTGCTATATACATTTTCATAGAAGGCAGGATTAAACAGTATTAAAAATACGCTGCAGAAACACAACAGCAAACAACAGCTGAGCTAAGAAGCAATGACATGCTATAACAGTATGTTTGAGATGGAATGACATGGCATTGCAATGCATGAAATTTTTGAAAATGACATTTTAATAGATACGCTGGGAAGAAGTTAAGAAAATGTTTAAATTTATATTTACCTACTTCACCGATTTGAAATCTGAAAACTATACCTTTCATAAGCATGAAATGGTATTATAACTTTGGCCCGATATTTGTAAGTACCAGAATATGAAGAGATAGACTCATGAAAATGTGTACTTATGTATGTGACCAGTCGAGCTGAGCCGACTTAGGCTTATGGCAACCGAACTTCAGTTGGGTGGCTACTGGCTGAAATGGTTTTACAGATGGCAACTGCAAACTGGCAACTGAGTTGCTATATTGGCAACTGCATTTTTGTGGTCGGGTTCGAGGGGCAGGAGTCCCCTACGTAGCGACGCCCATGTATCTGGCAATACAATGCGCCGATTAGTATAACACTTTAATATATGAAAGACGAAATATGTTGCTATCAATTGGCTTCATCAAATTCGGTTTAAGTGGATTTTTACTTTTTTGCTTTTGATTGAATCTTTTCGTAAATGCCCATATGTATGTATATGTATATAAGCAGACCGTCGTCATCACTACAAAAGGTCCAAACGGGCATTTTTCGAAAAAAAAAATACGTTACTAATGGAGTTTTCTTTTCTCGAAAAAAATGTCACCTCTTATATGGCAACATTATCAGCGTGCAGCAGTTTGAAGAAAGAGCACGCAATATGCCTGTGAAGCAAGAATGATAGAATACAAGATTGCGCCGATTGCAGCAGAATTCGTGAGAGTAATTTTAGCGTGACGNCTGGAACCGACATATATACATCTTTCATTTGAATCAGTATTAAAAGCTCTATTGGCGAGTCTCCCCTGAGCCGTTTTTTTCCATATCTTTGGCCTGTGTGCGCTTTTATTTGAAATCTAAATGTTTTGGTACCGAGTATCGAGAGTATTGGATACATTTTAAATCGTTACCGAATATCGATCAATACTTGAAAGTATTGACTGAGCACATCACTACTGCTGTCTTCTCTACTATGACGTCACCAAAACAGCTGATTCTGTCAAAATCACTGAGAGCCGAGTAGCGGTATCGTCATCGGCGCCACCTCTGTATTCTCTCCACCGTGCCTGTGAAGATGGTGAGAAAAGAGCACGAAAACTTGGCAGCCTTGGCGCAGAGCAGAAAAAATGCAACATTATTTCGAGAAAAGAAAACGCTATAAAATTAAAAATCAAATAAACGTCACTTGGAATCTTTTGTTATGATTATATGTATATGTTATGATATGATGTAATTTCGACATCCATTATAAAATTTATTACTAAAAATAAACATAAATATATATTCAAGAATTTCAGCTTTAGATCCAGCCTTTCCGTTGTTCTACGGATCTTTTTCGAGTCATTTAAGTAAACATGATGCCGATTTCGTTGATGTCATTCATACAGATGCTTGGATTTATGGTGCACCAGTAAGTACCGGCACTGCAGATTTTTGGCCTAATGGTGGTACCACACTACAACCGGGTTGTCCTAGACGAAATTATAAAGCCCTTACAGACATTGGTAAGTTATGTTAGGGTGTTCAGAAGAATCAAATGAAACATAGTTAATTTTTTATCACGATTAGATAAAAACGTTTTAAATGTTTATAATACAGTGAACTCGCGATAATATTAACATCCTAACATATGAACATCCCAAAATATGAACACTTTTTCGCTACCATTCACTACTCTAAAATATGAACTTTAGGCAAAAGCTCCAAAATATGAACATTATTGTTTTGAAAAATTTCTAACGAATTTCAAGCGCTTGGTAATTTGGGGAACCCCTAGTTATTTGCATTGAAAATGTCCATAAGTGTCGCTCGGAAATGCTTACAGTGATTAACTTCATTGTTCGATTTTCTTATTGTTAAATACGCGTGAAACATGTGATCCAAAATTTTAAAGTTTTTTTAACTGCAAGAAATCAACTTTATTTGTTAAAAAAAACTTGATTTAGAAAAAAATGCTGATATTGCAAAGTAAGTTTTGTATTTTGTTTATCAAGTCTCGGCTAATAGAAAGCTTATGTTTTGTATGAGTTTCTTTGGAAATTTTGAAAATCGGTTATTGTGGTAGACAAGAGGTCGGTTAAGGTATTACAATACCACATTACGTCAATCTTTAATTACTTGAACACCACGTTTATTCTAACAGCTGCGTTATCGTAATGTGGTACAGTATACATTATACATTATCCTAACCATATATACCATGTTTCCCTCCAATTTTTGAAGTATGTATTTTTTGGTGTCTTTTAACTTGTTTTCAATAACTTTGTTATTTTTGAATACATGTATTTCATTGAAAAATATTTTATAACTTAAGTTTCACTGTTCTCAAATAATAAATAATAGTTACAATAAAGCTCGTACATTTGCTACATATCTCAAAAAACAAATACCTATACCACAATAACCGAAGTTCCCCTGCATATGCGGTTTGTTTATTTGTGTAACAAACAAAACGAATACAAGTTTCTTTTAAAGTTTTAAATAAAACACATTTTTTCTTAATTGATGAAACTTGTTTTTTTAATTCTTGAGCCTTTCGTAAATATGAACAATCTCCAAACCAGGATTTTGTGAAACAGTTTTTGTTTCGTAGTATTTTCCCCCTCTATCACTATTGGCTAAAAAAAGTTAAAAATACCGAAAATCAGCAGAAACCCCATGTTAGTACACTTAGTGGATGAAATTCATTATTTTTATTCACATATTATTATTTTTCATTTGTTTTCAATATTATATATTACATTTTAGTATAAAATTTTCAGCTCCTCGGCAACACTGAAGTTTACGAATTCATTTGCGCATCAAATTTGCCTCATAATTTTACGAGGGGCTCCATACAAGTTTTGACAGTTTTTTTACGAGGCTCGTAAGTTTACGAGCTTTACGAGGTTTACGAGGCTTTTACAAGTTTAAGGGAAGACTCCTATTGTTAATACATATGTACATACAAGAAAATATGTACATTTCATCAGTTTCTCAAATAACAAACTTCTTAGACGGGGTTTGCTATTGAGAGAATGTACTCTATATCTCTATATGCATTAAGGTCTTAGACGGGGTTTGCTATTGAGAGAATGTACTCTACATGCATTAAGGTGCTCGTAAACGATGAGAGTAAATACCTTGAGAATAGGTCACCGTCTAACAAGTAATGAGAGTGGGTATTCGTTCTTATCGTGGATTTCTCATAAGTTCTTAACACTGGAATATTCTTACCCGTGTAACAAGTGTGTTTGAAAGTTTTCTTTCTCTCACACGCATATTCTCAGCTCTCATATGCTACGCGTCGAGAATTTTTATTCTGAGCCGTACACAGTGTAAAAGCATAGACAGACGGCAACGTTGATCCGGATTAACGCCGCAATCGATCTGATCAAAATTGTGCCTTGACAGACGGCAGTAATGCGGATTAACGAGCCGCGAATATTCATTTAATATTTTTTATTGATTCAATTATAAGTTCTATATTTTTTAACTTGTTTTTAGTTAGTTCTTGTTGACTTTTTTTAGCAAAACTAAACTCTAAAAATTTAAATTAACTAATAATAAAATAAAACATGTGAAATAAAATAAAACAAACGAAAATAAATTAAAAAACTATTAAATATACTAATCAAATAAAACTTAGAGAAATAAAAGAAATAATAAACACAATTTTTTTTGGCAATCGCTCCAACCGAGGATCGAACCTGGGACCTACAGGCTTGTAGTACGCAGCTCTCACCACTCGGCTACCGCGGATGAAGGAATCGGCTGCTTTATTTGCTCAGTTAGCGTAGAACACAAAGAAACTGCAAAACTAGCATAGACATCCACCCTGTCGTCGGTAATGCAGTCACCGAAATAAGTTCTTATTCATTTTAAATTGGATTCCTATTTGAATTATTATGGTGACTGCATTACCGATGAGAAGGTACATGTCCATGCTAATTTTGCATTTTCCCTGTATTCTACGCTCTCTGAGTTTTGGTCAGTGTTGTCATCGAAAATTCCTTTGATCAGAGTTAAGTTTGGGAATTAACTCTAGGATTTAATCCGGGTCAACTGCAGCTAATTCCCGAGATAATTCCGAATTAACGAATGGATCCGGATCAACGCCGCCGTCTGTTTATGCTTTAAGATGTCTAATAACGCAAGAGGGATAGAATACAAGATTGCGCAGATCAAGCTGTGAGCAACCGGTTGTGACGTCATAAAAGTGAGGGAATTAATAAAAGTGAGGGAAGCAAAGAATAAATTCTAAAGAAAAAAAGATAACCCGAACATGTGATGCGAAATAATGATTTAAATGCAAATAGAATTGTACCCATTAATTAGCCTTTTAAATTTGAACGCATATTCGGTACAAGCACACAATTTTAGGTACATCTGGAAGGTAGCAAAATAACTTGTCGGGACATTTTGTCTCATTTTTATAGGCATTTTTTTTTTTTTTTTTTTTTAATTTTTTTTTTTTTGAATCTGCCCTGCCTAAGAGCCTAACAATAAGTTTTCGAATATTAATCTATTCAATTAATTTACATCCCCTAGTTGGGATGAATATTTTCTTAACTGGCCCTAAGAAAAGATTACGACTGGGCTGGTAAGTCATTCCTACGTAGTCTTGAGGTCCTGTTGACACGCATTAAAGATCTTGCTAAATGATTTGGGTGCGCTAAAAGCTTCGATACATATTTCGTCTTCCGTTGTTCTATTTCGTTTCGTACTTCTGGTATTCTCAAGTCGCGGTGAATGTTCTCATTTCGCATATACCAAGGTGCTCCGGTGATTGTTCGAAGGATTTTAGATTGCGCACGACGAAGGATTTCGATGTTGCTGCTGCTCGCGTTTCCCCATAACTCACATCCATAGGTCCATATCGGTTTTAAAACTGTATTGTAAATAAGCACTTTATACTCCAGACTCAGGGGTGAGCGAGAGTTAATAAGCCAGTGGAGAGAATTAGCCTTCAGCTTGAGATGAGTCCTTTTAGCCACTATGTGGTTTCGCCAAGTAAGTCGCCTGTCCAGGTGGACCCCTAGGTAAGTGACATGATTGCTTTGTGGTATTTGTACGTTGTTTAAAGTCAAGGGCGGACAGTTACTCTTATTCAGTGTAAATGTAACTTGCTTACATTTTTGCTCGTTAACCTTTATTCGCCAGTTTGCGAGCCAATTGGCAACAGCTTCCATATGATTGCCTAGGAGCACAGTTGCTTGTAGAGGACACTTGGAGCGACTGATTATGGCAGTGTCATCGGCAAAAGTGGACATTATCAGGCGGTCGTTTGTAGGAATATCCGCGGTGTATAAGACATACAACATCGGGCCAAGGACACTGCCTTGTGGCACTCCAGCTTCGATTGCATGGGCTTCAGAAATGGTGGTGTTACATCGAACTGCAAACTTTCGATTATAAAGGTATGACTTAAGCAGTTTGTGTGTGCTTTGTGGGAGTAGCATTTGTATTTTATACATAAGACCATCTAGCCAGACGCGGTCAAATGCCTGGGCGACGTCAAGAAATATTGCAGCGCAATATTCCCTCTTTTCAAACGCTGTTCGGATTTCGGTTGTTATGCGATTTACCTGCTCGATTGTTCCATGTTTTTCCCTGAAGCCAAATTGGTGAAGTGGTATTATATTGCGGGCTTGCAGATGTGGGGAGATGCGCAGCATAAGAAGTTTTTCGAATAATTTCGACATACACGGTAGCAGGCTGATGGGCCTATATGAAGATGGCTGCGTTTTGTCCTTTCCGGGCTTTGGTATCATCACAATAGTCGACTTTTTCCATTGGTGAGGGAAATGACAATGTTTAGTGATTGCGTTAAATAGCATACAGATGCAAAGTACAGCACAATTTGGTAGCTCAATAATCATTTTTGGGGTTATTAAGTCGTGCCCTGGGGCCTTATTTGGTTGCAGTTGATCCTTAATTACTTTTGAAATTTCTTCAGGTACAAATTTCAGCGGCTCAAATTTTGACACATTGGGTACGGGTGGAAGTTGAAAATTATTAGTTGCGGGGTTTGGCCTAAAAACATTTTTTAGATGAGAAGCAAAGGTGTTTGCTTTTTCTGCGTCACTCCGAGCCCATTTGCCATTGTGGTCCCGTACTGGCATTTCAGTCTCTATTGGCGCATTTAGCTTGTGGTGTGCTTTCCATAACGAGTGCTTTGTGCTAGTCGGTGAGAGCTTTTGGATGTACCGGTACTGTGCGTACTGTTCCTCGTTCTTGAGGGCTCTCGTCAGTGCATGTGTGGCCGCCTTGAGCAGTTGTTTTGATGCTGGTGATCTATGAGTCTGCCATATCCGTCGTAGGCGTCGTTTTTCCAAGACAAGCATTTCAATTTTCCTATTGGTTAAATTATATTTTTTATTTTGCACAT